GTTATAGGGAGGGTTATATGGAGTAATACGAGGAGTTATAGGGAGGGTTAAATGGTGTAATAGGAGGAGTTATAGGGAGGGTTATATGGAGTGATAGGGGGAGTTATAGGGAGGGATATATGGAGTAATAGGAGGGGTTATAGGGAGGGTTAAATGGAGTAATAGGAGGGGTTATAGGGAGAGTTATATGGAGTGATAGGGGGAGTTATAGGGAGGGTTATATGGAGTAATAGGGGGAGTTATAGGGAGGGTTATATGGGGTAATAGGAGGAGTTATAGGGAGGTTATATGGAGTAATAGGAGGGGTTATAGGGAGGTTATATGGAGTAATAGGAGGGGTTATAGGGAGAGGGAATATGGAGTAATAGGAGGGGTTATAGGGACTGGTTATATGGAGTAACAGGACGAGTTTTATTATTTAGTGAGTATTGTTTTTTAGAGGAACAGGAAGATTGAAGGGGTGACTGTAGTATAACGTTGCGATGAGTTCTCCGGCAATCGCAGGATAGTTCTGGGTAAATGTTATACTTAGTATCTCTAATATAAATATATCAGCATTGTCTGGGATTACAGTGTCACACAGAGCTGCTCACCTTATCAATATAACTCAACCCCAGAGGCACAAGGCAGGGTGATCAATAGTTAAGGCTGTTAAGGCTCCTATAAAACCGGCTGGAAACTGAAATTAAATACTTAATTACTGCTACAATTTCCAGTGATTAAAGTGCACTCACAGTGACAGTGTTCCCAAATGTCATTTTACATTTCGCTTATTGTTAACCCTCTCAGCACCAGGGTGACCAGCAGCTCACGGCTTGATATTGGAGACACACTAATCTGCAGGTTACACGGAGGGTTGTAGGCTTATAAAATGATGTATCAGAAACATGGCAACATCACGTTCTCATTAGCATCCTTGGTATAAAAGAGAGGTGATTACAGCTCAATGCCAAATAACAGCGTTCTGTGACAAACCAATTTATATTCATAGCTCCTCCTCTTACGCTGTATAAATTCTCAATATTACGCCTCCTCTTGCTCTATATAAGTCTCACTTTAACCCCTCACTTCACTCCATGTAAGTGCTCTCTATAATTTCTCATACTTAATATGAAACTGTTCAATATAGCTCAATATAACATCATTATATGGCGTATTATAGCCTTTCACAATATATATTTTTATAGTTAAATAACATCTCAATTAAGACCTGTCTATATCTTCGTGTAACAACTTCTCTGCTCCATCTAAGTCTTGCTCCACAGAACAGTCCCCTATGACTCCCCCTGTTGGTCTGTATGACATATCTCCATAGCATCAGCAATAATTAATATTCTATGAATGCTCTTCACTCTATATAATTCTGTAATTGTTTGAATAGTCTGCATATAACACCTCCAACCCTATATTACACTCTGTTTATCTATGTCTCATATAAACTCCACCCATTACCCCACATTGCAGGAATATGAAAACAAAAATGCTACATTTAATGGGACGAACTATGCAATGACCACTTAAACTGCTCCATATACCTCCTTCTAATTCTATATGTGCAGCCTGTGCCTTTTGTTGCTGCGTATAATCTCTACCAATAAATCTTGATAATTATCCATTTTAAATTACTCCAAATTTTGGGGAAAATATTGTTTAAAATCTTTCCTCCCATTCATCCATATGATCACTGCATTGGTGATTATATGCTAGTG